GAAAGGGAGGGGAAATCCGTGAGTTGCTTGGTAGGAAGGGCAGGGTTTGGTTGGTCCTTCAACTGTTGGAGTTCGACTTCATGTTCTTCAGCGTCGAGCGCCTAGGTGTCAAGCTTGCCCCATGGAGATGAGACGGTTGCCACCATTGTCAATTCGCTCTAAGTTTTCACCTTGGGTTCGATTCTATCTGCTCTGAGTTTGCGTTTGTTAGAAGCAGAAATGGCTTGAAAGAGAACCCATAATGGCCCCTCTGCAAACCCAGATTTCTTCTGTATTTATCTCTTACTCATTATTTTGAATTCTCAGCCATAATTCCGATTTGATTTCAATTCAACATTTCTTGCAATTTCATAGCTTGATTTTCGCTTTTCTATCCTCATTGTTGCATATTGAGAGCTTTCATTGAAGTAGGTAGCAAGATTTGATTTTTCATTCTGTTCATTAGAGTTTTCTCCTACCCACGCTGATCTGGGTTTGCTTTAAATTAGTGTTTTTTTGGGGTTTAGTGTGTTTTCCCTTCTGCTGTTTATCTTGGAGTAGATAGTCTTATCGGGGTTTTGCTCCAAAAACGTTCGATCCTTTGTGGATTTTAAAGGATATTTTGGTGTTTTTAGGAAATGGGTTGCGATTTGTGGAAGCTTTCAAGGATATGTGTTGGTGAAGTTCGTGTTCTGCTTGTGTTAGGTATTTATTGGTGGGTGATTTTATGAGCTGCTTGCGAGTTTAATGTTTTTTGAATTGTTCGTCCGATGGAGAAATGAATTTCATCTAGTTGTTTAGAAAAACTGCTTCTAAATCTAGTTAGAGATTTAGCAAGGTTCCTTAATAACGCGTCGCGTGAAAAGAAAACCTCTACGGACGGTTGTCTTCTTTGCTGGACAATCCACGCCGAACGATTTTGGACATAAATTAACGAATAATTTCACATAAAGCCGAAGAAAGGAGCAGTTTTTCTAAAACCCAGATCTGGGTTTGAGAGAGGAAAAAGAAGGGAGAAGAGAGAGAGAGAGAGAATAAGAAGAAGAAAGAAAGATGAGCAGGGAAAGTAAAGAGGAAAGGAGGAAGAAGATGAAGTTTGAGAGAGAACCCAGATCTAGGTTTGCAGAGGTAAGAGAAAATGAAAGAGGAAGAATAAATCTAACGTGGGTGAAAAAAAAAAAAGAATTATTATTTTTAAATTAAATGAAAATGCCAACCCATAAAAAAAAAATGCCAACTATGTTTTTTTTTCCATGTCATTAATTAAGAAAAAAAAAAGAATTGATTTGCTGGCATTTTAACGTATCACCTGTCATTTAATTGACAGAATGACCATATTGATATCGAAAATGAAAGTTTGAGGATAATTTTGGTACTTTTTTAAGTTGAGAGACAATTTTGGTGCCAAAGTGAAAATTTGAGGGACCAAAGTGGTACTTAAACCTTTAATTTATGAACTTAAAAAGTCTTTGATTTGATTTTTAAACTATTATACATATTCCTAATTTGATACTTATTATTTATCAATTTGTTCTAAATTGGTTCTTCCATATAAACCATGTTGTGTTTTTAGTTTTTAAACTAAAAAAATTCTTGATTTGATCCTTAAATTAATGTACGGACCCCCAATTTGATACATATTATTTACCAATTTGCCCCAAATTGGTTCTTTCATATAAAAACTAATTGATGTGTTTATTATTTAACGACAAAAAATAGTAACTTAATAGTAAAAAATAATAACTTAATTATGAAAAATAGTAATTTAATGATCACATGTCATGTTAATAACAAGATATGTCAGTTGGTTTTTGTATGAAAAGACTAATTTAAGGTAAATCAATAAATAGTATGGACCAAATCGAGATCTGTACAATAATTTAAGGATCAAATCAAGGGTACATATAATAATTCAGGTACCAAATTAGGAATTTAACCCAAACAAAACTACCCCAAAAAAGTAAAGGAGGTTGGGAAACAGTAAACACCCTCCTCAGTTGCTGTAGAGGGCGTACTGGTAATACACGTGTCAGAATTCTAGGGTCAACTGAAGTCTGTAGCAGAGGGCGAGTCACGGACAATCATTCCAGATCTGTTGATTTTTTTTTTTAATAATTGAGTTATTATTTGTTTTTCGATATTTGTACGATATTTCAGGCACTGTTCAAAAAATCTTTACTATTAAATAAATTATTTTTTTAATAATTACTATTATATAATTTAAATTATTTTAAATTATATAACCCTTCTTTTTATATAATTTGCATTCATAAAAAATTATTGTTATAACATGTTTTCAATCAATTATGAAATTTAATGACATTAATTACATTAAATAGATACATTTTTTATCTTTTTGAGCGGGTTCTTCTCACTTATGTCAAATTGTTCCAAAAAAAAAATCAATTATGTTTTGTCTTCGAGCTTATC